ATTGATTGATTTGTCTACGAACTGGATTTCAAAAAATTGATGAATCAAATTTGTTCTTTTCCTTTTTTATATGTGTGACGGCGGCCATTTTTGACGGGAAAAATTGACGGCTAGCGGGAAACAACCCCGCAACGGTCAGGAATACTGTAGAAAATCGCAGGAAAAACGACATCATATCCTGGAAGGAAATAACACTTTATAAATACTGACGTTGGGTACGAATTGATCTTAAAACTGCTAATTCGTTCAGATATCCCTTTGCATTTTCCATTATGGGTATATTTTCTGTAGTTTAGATAACGATAGGAACTTTTGAATTGTATTTACCAGTGTTTTTTTTGCTATTTTCTAGATAAATTTCATTTTATGAGTTATTTTATAATTTATGCTATGTTAGAATGTATAATAAGACAGTGAGTTGGGTATTCTAAAAGCAGGTGTACCGTTCATATTTGTTCATGTTATTTCAATTTTATGTTCAGAAAGTACGAATTTGTGTATTATGTCAAAAAGGCAGCTATGCCGACAAAATTTTGCTATACAAGTTGATTCAGACAAGCTATGAAGCTATATGACTCTTCTTGTCTCTGTTTTCGGCTGATGATATGTTCTTGTGTAATGTTTTGTGTTTTCCTTCCGGCGATACTATTTCTTTTTCGGGCCTAAAACAAATCCAGAAAGTGATTGAAAATTTGTTTAGAAGTGTACCCGTCGAGTCCGATTGATAACTGGCTTGTATTGATTTTAGTTGCGTTCACTAACTTTAAAGTGACCTGCTGATTCCTTTACCGCTGAATTAGATTTGGGCAATCAACATATTAATATAGCAGTTTCCTAACTTTATGAGATTTATTTTCTGCGTTTTAGATCAAAGTGCCAGTTGTTCCGTGCCTCTTATCTCGGTATGTGATCCTTGTACGTTAGTTTTACTTCATTGGCTCTGATGCCGGCGCGGAGACGAATCTATGCGAGTAAGTTCGCTAGCAGAGAAGGAGCCCAGTACCTCCGCACTTGAAAGGAATTTTTTGAGTTTTCTGCAGTTTTTCTGACTTTAAAAACTCTTTGCGCATTTTTCGATAAAGGAGAAAACGTTTTCGTCCGGACATCCTAAAGAAAAGGATACGTTTATTGGTGCTTGTTTTGTGAGATAAAATTCAAAATGAAGTGTTTCTTCCGGTTTTTGACCAAATGTAACTTGATTTTTTCAACCTCTGTTAATTTACGTACCACACAGTCAATTTTCCGCTATGCTGAGGCGACAAAGGATAGTGGAAATAACATGGTAAATAGCTGTTGTCATTTTGTGTCATGTGATTTAGCATATTTTTTAACAAGAATATTTTGCTTTCTTATTTTATAGTACGTGGCTCTTGATAAAACTATCGACACAGATCCAGCTTGAAAACCTTCTGGTGATAAAAACTCACATGAAGACCATATATACTGTACATCAACTGAATTTTCAAGAAAAGGTTTGCATCGATTTTGAGAAAAAAAGAATGTTTTGTTAACCGCAGAAGCTGTTCGAGAATCCGTCAACGAGTAACGATCAATTCCTATCCTCCGACTCACTTAGATACTTGTGTTAACCATTTCGCTACAAAAGATGATTAGAACGAAAGCAATGCTGAAATTTCTTACAACCATAAGAAGGATTATATTTTAAGAATGCTCGATAAAAGCACCGTTTTTCAATATCCTTCTTTCTACAAACGATTGCTATTTTTTTCACGTGTAAAAAAACAAAGTTTTTGCGTATTTCCATGAAACAAGCTCAATAATATTTTTATATAAAAAACCAAAATTTTTTTTGAAGATATTAAGGTATTCCATATTTCATGGTGATTAGACTTTGTTAAGGAACAATCGTCCACACCTAAATACAAATAGTAGAAATATAATCTCAGTAATATAACATAACCAAGTAATTTGAAAAATATTCTACTCATAATGAATGAATTCTAAAAAAGTATTCTACTCATAATGAAACGTGACCCAGTACTTCGTAAGTTAAGAGCGTAATAACTTTTTTTTCGATATATTATTTAGAATCCAAATCAAGTCTAAAGCGAAAGCATAGAGATGTGTCAAAATCAACCCTAACAAAAGATTCAAACGAAAATCTAGTTGAAAAAGTGACTGTTTTTCAAGATGATACATCGATTAGTGGTAACATCAATGTCTCAACAACACAGCGCTATTCTTTGCGTGAGCAAGACTTAAATACGTCTCAGTCAACAATAGTATTTCAACATTCTCAATCTTCCAATGATTTTAACAACTGATTAATTAATAAACTTTCTTCTGGATGCATTATGCGTGCACAGTATGCACGCGAGCAACTGCTTTCAATGACAGGAAATTAGATAACATTCGATAAATTTAAAGAGAGAGTCGTCAAGCATAGCAAGGCGATGATAAAATTTTACTCCAAACAAAACAGAGGCACTTACATAATTTTTGCAACTCCTGAACAATATATCGAGTCAAACTTGAAGAATAATAGTAAAACGGATGAAGATGTTATATCATTTATTCCCTCTAAAGTCTCAAATAATGATACAACCATTCATGATAATGAAACAACAATCGCAAAGCAAATGGCAGGCCAAGAAAACAACAATAAATGTTTACTTCTGTTAGCTATTGAAATAATTAGAAAGGAGCTGAAGAGATCATTATTAACGAAACCAGCGATACGCCCATTTGCTTTAATGGCCTTGGATGCTAGATCATTTATGAAAAGTGTATCTCCCTTTCTTCAAAATTTTATATCATTAATTACTTTGAATAATGCTGATTCTAACAAATTCAAGGAATCATCACCTTATTTCGATTTCCATGGCGTATTTTTTCAAAATTATAGCAAAATGTTGCAAGTATCATCTGTATGTTTAGATCTGTTAAGCTGTCGGGATTTTTGTTATATCTCTTACAAAAACATACTGTTATCAATGGTTGTCTGGAAACTAACGGGCTCTGAACGGCTTATTAGCATTTTAAACAAGTTTGGTCATACATCAAGTTCAGATACTCTGAAACGGTTAGCAACGGTAGCAGCTGAACAAGAATCATCTGGTGATTATCTTCCGCAAGATAAACGAGCTACTGTTTCTGAATATTTATCCACAAAACAATTTTTATGTTAGTGAGCTCTCATGACAATAAACTGTAAAAGCAAAATAATTGATATAATTAGCTTTGACCAGATGATTCAGTTTTTTTGAAAGACCTTTTCTGTAATACAAGTAGCGTTCACCATGCTGATTCACTTATCCCTTGACTGGAAAGGAATCGCCGATGCCAATCGCTTGCGTCAACGTGCATTCTCTAACTGGCCGAACTTGGTTCTCACCGAAGCAATTTTTCTTAATGATCACTTACCATGAGCCGGAGCTATTTTCGCCATACACCTCACAGATATGATGCTTGCCCTAGTTCACGTAATTACGGAAATTCTACTCTGTTCTGAACCACACATTTCTGTCTTAATCGGCGGTCTGCTACTTCCTTTACTACTTGCTATCCCTCTCATTTCGAAGACCAGTAATAAGATTAGATCAAACTAATTTCTTGTCAGATTTCGAAAGGAAAAAGCCGTATTTACGATTAAGTAATCGGAGCTACTTTTTGCACCAAGTTATGTTTTTTGTGATTGGTATTTTATTTTTATGTTTTTTAATGGTCGATAGATTTGTATTGGTATTGAATTTAAAAGTTGGTATTTTTTTTGGTTTAGATTTAGAATTTTTATTCGATTTGTGGAGATTGACTGCTTGTCCCACTCCATTATTACTATAGATGCCCCAACAAAATTTACCAGTTTCCCTACACTTACCCTCATTTTCCCTTCGTTGCTCAGAAGTCCCGTGGGCACGCAATACCCAATGTGTTCACTACTCTCGTGTGTTAGGATGCAGATAAGTGTGTCCATCTATCCGCTAATAATTTGTGTGTCGCTAGTATCTAGGCTGCGGACATACAAACATAAAGACATTTTAACTCGAGAAGACTCTTTCCTGTACACTCAAGGAACACCATTTTTATCCTATCAAATTGCAATGAAGACTACGACCAACAGAATCGACCTTAGAGCTCGCTCTCAGTCATATTCTGATTTCCCGTAGTCGACTCTTCTGCATTTGGTCGGTCTCGTGACTTAAGGAACTTATATCTGGCGACCTTCGATGACTATGGCTATATTCACACTAAAAATTTCTCAGAGTTAACTCGAAGTTAACTTCGAGAGCGTTCTCATCTAAACCTTTAATACACCAATAAGATTTTATATTTCGGCTTGTCGGTTTAAATTTACGCTCAACAGTTGAGATAAACATTTCGACCAACAAAACTGATCGTAGAGGTTGCTCATACCCACAGTCGACTACCCAACCCCCGACATTGATCGATAGTAGTATATCGATCAATGTGTTACCATATCGAAAAAAACTTTCACCAGATATCAGTCAGAATTATTCTTACATGCGTTAACAGTCAGAGCGCCAAGCCTAAAATGCATAATAGAATAACGTTGTCCTCAATTCAAAATCTTAAATTTTGCCCACATTATGTCTGAAAGAATGTATCTCAATCAGAGAACTTATCCCTAAAATA